AAAAACAAAGATTAAGCACTTCGACAACAACTAAAACCAGCAGCAACATCCTCGTGCTGAAAACCAGCCCAACCAAGGAGAATAATCAACATGACTACTCTCCTCCAAGGCTTGGAAAAAAAAAAAACCAAAAACCAAAATTCTCTATATGCCCACAACCACAACCATCACTCCCCACACAGAAACATAGCAAAACAAAACTAGGCAGTCCAGAGAACAAAAAAAACTGCCCTAGGCAGCCCACAATCTCAACAACTAGAAAGCAAAAACATAGATCAGTTCATCCATAAAAACAAAGGAAAAACATAAATAAAAACGTGGACAACACCCCCAAACACTACGCAAACAATAGTCCACCTAAAAAAGCACCCCACATCTCCACTCCAACGAATCCAGCACCCGAATTACTCCCCAAACCCATACCTCACACTCTTCCCACAAGCCAAAAAGGAACCATCTCCAACCTCCCGACCACATAGAGAGAGAGCGAACAGACTAGTGGTTCCAGAAACAAGAAAAATTGAAACCACCTCCAACCTCCTAGGCCCACGGAGAGAGAGAACAAACAGACCAGTCGTTCCAGGTTGAATCAGAGGCAACAGAGGATTAATTGAAACAGAATCAAATGAGATGAATTTACCTACTCCGTTAACCTTCGGTTTTCGTTGTTCAGTTGTAGTCAATAATTTATCTACCGTCACCCCGTAAACAATCCTACGTCATCAATTGCAGTTGTTGTTCCTTCAGCCCTAGTCCATTGTCGCCAATATCCTACGATTATTTTCCTCACTCATCGTCGATCGTTTGTCCACCGTTATTTGCCGTCACCAACCTTCCCTCATCCTCTCTCCGAATATTCCTCATGATGTACACCAACAATGCCGCTTCTCTATTTTTTCCTTCACTCGTCGTAGACGGTTTTCCTAGAGTCAAAGTACTGTTAATAACGCCGACGTTCGTTCAGCCGTCCTCCACCATTGCCGCTACCCAACGATTCTCTCCCTCAAACGTCGTCTATCGTCTCCGTTTAGGGTTCGTTGTCACTTGTCATTCAGTGAAACTCACTCCGCCACTATCGCTGGTTTTAACTCGTCCTCTGTCAAGTTCATGCTAGAAGAAAGAGTTGGATTAATTCGAGGAAATCCACAGCCTCCACTACTCATTGATTGCAACTGTTTCGATACCTTTCTCATTAACATGAAAGACTTAAATACAACTGGAAATAACCACTGACCGGATTACAAGGACTCAACCCATAAAAATAGCATAAATACGACGCTGATATTCAGCTAACAACCCAACCTGAAGATCTATTCTTAAGCCAAAATACTTGCCATGAGCCAACGGATTAAGAACAAGTCTTAACCTGATGCCCATGTACAGTTATTGGACCCACATAATCAGACTAACTCAACTAGCCCCTGAACTCTACTAAATTAAATACAATCAATAACAACTGGGCCCACATGAATTAAATACAAGCAACCAACAACTGAACCCACGTGCACAGGACATCCTCCACTGTCGTCGGTTTCCGTTTTACTGGTAGTCATCGATGGTTTCCGTTGATTTGGTCGAACTCCTTCAAAGACAAAGAATGAAGATTGGAAGAGGCAACAAACGAAAAGCCAAAAGTCATCGTTTTCTCCTTTTTTTTACTGACAAAGTCAATTGTTAGGAACACATGTCAAGTTTTTTTAGCAAACAGAAATCCTAACAGAATATGATGAAAAATATCTGTTTGTACGATAAATGTTGGATAGGTGTAAGTTGTTCGGCCTAATCTATTTTATAAAAAGATTTTAAAAATATGCTTTCGTGACTTTTAGGATTAAAAACTGTTTTGGAAAGTCAATTACAAAAAGTGCCCTTCACATATACAATATATATTTAAAGAAAAACTTGATTCATTAAATAAGTAATTAATAATTTATTTATAAATTTAAAAATATTAAAATGGTAGGAAGTTGCCAGTCAACGCTTTGAATTTGATCAACAAAAATAAAAGTTTACAAAAACCAATTTTAATAATAAAATTTAATAATTATTTTAGTCTTTTGACATGTGTTATATATCCTCACTTAAAAGTAAATCACTGACAATCCCAATTAGACTAGCCTTGGCGGCTTAGAAGCTTCAGTTGAATCTGAAGATTCAACAATCAGCTCGCTGACCTGTCAAATGCTAACTTAATTAAGAGTAGACTAAAAAGTAAGTTGAATTGGCAAACTACCTTAAAACTGGAAACACACAACTTATTCTCCCAAGTTACTCAGCAACGTCGAGCATGCTACCACGCTCTACAATCAACAAGACACACCCTTAATAAATATTTAGTCAGAAATTAATAAATATACAACCCTTTTATTATATTCTAATACAACTCTCTTGCACTGATGACATATCAGCCTCCTTTACCATTTCGAGCAACTTATATAAATCCCTCATACTGGGGATAAAGCCCCATGATCATCATTCTTTTTGGACAACTCATCATTCTTCTGAAGCTTCTCAAACCGTTTACGAAAATCAGCCATAAAAATCCACTTTTGAACCTTCTTAATCCACTTCTGAACCTTCTTAATCCACTTGAAAAGCTCGAGCAAAGTTACTTTAAATGTCAAATACATAGGGAATTGCGTGAATGCAAATATGCTGAATGGAAGAAATGCAGCAGTGTAAATGAAAATGGCGGTCCAACGCAGCTTTTGGGAATGAATGACGAGCAAGAATGCTGCCACGAATGCAAGCATTGTTGAACTCAACGAAACGAAGAGTAAGGTGAAGCCTATTGTCAGTTTTCGAGGGAGCCTGTGAAGGAATTCTTCATATGTAATAGGTGAAGTGAAGACTAATAAGAACATTATCACCGAGCTCATGGAGCTGACAAAAGCAACAATGACCATGACTATGAAAAACATGAATAAATTGTCGTTGAGGAAAATTGGATAACCCTTATCATTGGAACCTCCAGGTACATTGTAGACAGTTGTGAACAACACGGTGGCGGCGAGAACAGCCACCGCAAAGCAAGATTGACAAGTCTCTTTTACCCATCTCTGTGCTTCATTGAGTAGGTTATTGTGCCTAAGGTCGAACAGCTCTTTGCAATTGGAATTCCCCTCTTTTTTGCCACCTTTTGCAATTACACGGAGCATGGCATAATGGGTGGGCACTAACTTCTCCACACGCTGCATATATGCACAAATAAAAGATAAAATAGAGTATATTCCATGGAAGACTTAATTAATTAACTCATCATTCAATTTTTATGTATAGAAGACTACCAATCCTTGTGTTGGTCACCTAAACATCCAATAGATTCTTCATCTTCATTGTCTCTAATTTTTGCAACACATGCACTTTATGTCTAAGTTTTGCTTTATTTAATTTTTGTTTAAATAGTTATTTTTGTCCTTCAGATACTTGTAAAAGAGTCCGGAAAATACGATTCAACAAAAAGAAGGTATCATGTTCTATATTTTTCTAGATATAAACCCAAAAAAAAATTGCTAAACAAAGGGATACTTGAAGTGGTAAATATTTTGTGATACCAATGCACTTTATTATTAACAAAATGAAATAAATAAGCCTTTTTATGCCATTAATAATCAAATTTTTATCTTCTTCTAGTTTATCATATGCTCTTACAAAACACATTAATATTTCCTATGAAAAAAATTATGAAGATTATTTAATAGATTATGTTAGAATCAGAGACTCTAAATATAAACAAGGTTTTTTTTTTTTTTTTTTTTTTTTTTTTAAAATTCTTAAGGTTTAATCAAATAACAAATGTTCCCCTAAGATTTAAGAAATAATACCGTTAATGAACTTTTAGAGTATTGGTAGATTTTTTAACATGATGAGTTAATAAATAGTTATAAAATTATCTTTCAATCATTTATATTTATACTAATAACTAAACGGTAGGAGAATTTTTGTTATTACTACAACCACGAGAGAAATTAGTTATTTGGTTATATCTAAGGGGAGTTTTTGTTATAAACCCTATAAATAATCAAATTATTCAAAAAAAAAAAAAAAAAAAAGTAGTACTAAACGTATAAAAAAATCTTATAAAGATTTTGACAAAAAATGAATAAAATAATGAATATAATAAGTTTGACTTTTTGTATTTACTTTTTTATTTATTTTTTATCACAATACTTTGTATAAAAAACTTTTGTAAGATTTCTTTATGACGCAGTATCATTAAAAAAAACAGTAGTAAAGATTTGTAGAACGCTTACTGTGTACCACTTTAACTCTTCTTGTAGATGGTATGCAGGACCACGGTGAATATCTGCATTATCATTGATCTTGTCTGCAGCATGGTGTAAAATGGTATAGCCACGTTCGTCGATCCCTCGGACTAACCTTTTCATTGGTATATTCATCTCTTTCACAATATCGAAGATTTCCTTTTGACGGTGCATGATAGCGATATGTAACATATTCCGATTCTTATCATCGGTATACTCAACCAACTGGGGCGTTTGTTGAAGTATCTCGTTGACAATCTCTTTTATTCCTCTTTCAGTAGCCAGAAATAATGCGATTGATTTTGAAGTTGGTTTTGAACCTTCACCGTCGCTTGCCAGGTGACCTTGAATATTTCCTAGTTCTCCGAAACCTGCAAGGAAATTTTTTTCAACAATCTGCTGCCACACAGTATCTCGTTCTATTAGGGACTTGGTGAGTTCAAAAGCAAGTTTATGCTTTCCCAGTATTGGCAACCCTATTCTTCGTTTTGCATCAATCAGAGGACCTGTGAATTTTAGGAAAAAAAGTATACATATCATTAGTCAAGGAGATACCCTAGAATTGGAACACTATTGCTCTATTAATCACTCTATAAAAGTTCTGGATAGAAATGTATCATTTCATTCGCATATTTCTTTATTAACAAATTAGGATGAAAAATAGAAAGAGGATATATTAAATTCAAACAGTTACTATATATTTTAGTGTAAACGTGGAAATCGCACTGTACGTACAAAGGTAGAGGATACTTCCCCATATGCTCATTCGGTAGCCACTTCTGAAAGCAGAGGGCATAGTAGCGAGCAGTTCAAGACTGGTCATGCCATTTCCGTCCACAGCTGTTGCTAACGACTCATCCACTTCCTTCAGTAAAAATAAAGCCGTTTCTGTAGCGAAATTAGAATAGAAATTAGCACATCAGACACCGGTTGAATTCTTCAATTTAAAGCAAAAATAAACTAGCTAAATGGCATTGGGAGAGATCAGAGAGAGACCAAAGTTCTCTCCTTGGATGGCAGCATGCAGAATGGAGGTCTCTGGTTTTTTTTTCATGCGGTGAATGTCTTTCAGCTGTCCATTTGTACAACTTTCTCCAGCTAAATAACTGACCACCTCTGTTTGCCCATATGCAGCAGCTTTGAACAGTGGGGTTTCGCCTTCGTTATTTATAACCTCAAGGAGCGGCTGGGTTTCGCCTTCTCTATTTCTATCCTCACGGATCTCCTTATCGTGTTTCACCAAGATCCGTACCGCCTCAATGTTACCATTGGCGGCAGCCTCATGAAGAGCCGTGTTTCCGTAGATATTTGTTGCCAAATATTTAGGCTTTGCCATGGGATCCGCTTTAGCTTTGTCAAGAAAACTTTGAAGCGGTTCTTCACTTTGGCTGAACACTGCCAAGTGAAATGGAGTGTCATAGGCGGCTGTTTGAGGAAATGTGAAAGCAAAAGCCCCTTCATCGTCGTACACATTCTTCAGTTTATCCCACTCCTCGTCCAAAGCTGCCCTATAAGACGTCGTCATTTCTCCAATTCAATAATTTCCCTATGGAGGCAAGAAAAGAATTAATGAAGAATCATCCAACAAAAAATTTGCAAAATTTTTCTCTTATTAATTTTACATAATCATTGTACTGATTGCATCTCTTAATGTTTGAGGCGGGGAGTGATCCAGCTGGTTATACATAGAGAGGGTGCTATTATTTATTGGGTCCACCTACTGGAAGATCAATATAATTTTCTATTTTCATAGTTTATCGTTCAAAATATTATTAATTAAAATTATTTTTTCTTTGATACAATAATTCATATAAATATCAAGTAATGGTTGACTTTACAAAAAAATATTTGATAAATAAAAAAATTAATATTGGAGATGTAAAATAAACCCGTCCTAAGCTGAGCCCAGGCATATGTTCTACCCGGAAGGGCCGGAATCGGGCCTAGGTTTGATAAGCCCGGCCCAGGCTTCGATCTATTATATAAAGTTTTGAAATTTACTAGTTTTAAGCCTTTAACCCACTAAAAACTACATAACACCTTTTATAAATTAAAATTTCAAAAAACCATTTTAAACATTTTTAATTCGATTTTGACTTGAAATTTCTAGTTTCGGAAAAACAAGCATGTCAATATCCAACCATTTTAAACAAAATCTTGAAAAGTAACGCAATGGGAAACTCTTATAAATTCAAAATTTATATAAACACAGAAAATATTACATATATCAGCAAGAATTAGTAATCTTTTAACAATATTTTTAAATACATATACCTAGAAGTGTGAGAGTTTTCTGATCTTACTTGAGTCCAGTTATGGCTGAAGTTCTTCACGTGTTAGAGAGTGAGGAGCAGTGGCGGATCCAGGAATTTCACTCGATGGGGGCAAAAAATAAACAAAAAAAAAATTGTGGGGGCAAAATGTCAAAGTCTTATAGGGGTAAAATACAACTAAATATAAATATTTATACAATATGAAGTTTTTTAAAGTTTGAGTAGGGGCCGTGGTCTCCACTCGTCATTAAGTAAATCCGCCATTGGTGAGGAGAGAGGAGATTAAGAGACATACCACAAATAACTATAGCCTGTTGGGAGATAGATGTTTGAGGAGAAAAACTTCAACTACACAAAGGAAATTATCTTAATGCACTGATTTTGGAGATATTTTTGGCAGTTTGAAGCTATTTATAGTCAAACCTTGGGTGGGAAATTGTCATTCACTCAACTATTTCTTTATCAATGAATCAAGCAAAGAACATAGTCCACTTTAACTTTATGTTTAACTTTTATTTCTAATAAATTTTAGAGCACTCTACGTAACCAGGCAGAAATAATTTATATTACCCTTGCGTGAAATTTATAATCAAATTAACCAATAATCCACTCAATTTAAATCTTCAATCCTTGAATAGTTATATTGTATAAATTGTATGATAAATAATAAATAAATTCATATGAATTGAAATGATATGCAATTTTCACTTAACTAGGAGAACATTTATGTGATTCTAAATACTATCTCAACGTACTATATGTTAACTAGTTAAGCAAATAGCTATCTTCAACTACACAAAGGAAATTATCTTAATGGATTGATTTTGGAGATATTTTTGGCCGTTTGAAAATATTTATAAGGTGGGAAATTGTCATTCACTGCTATTTCTTTATCAATAAATCAAGCAAAGAACATAAACCACCTTAACTTTTAACCAGGCAGAAATAATTTATATTACCCATGCATGAAATTTATATTCAAGTTAACCAATAATCCACTCAATCTAAATCTCCAATCCTTGAATAGTTATATTGTATAAATTGTATGATAAATAATAAACAAATTCATGTGAATTGAAATGATATGCAATTTTAACTTAACTAGGAAAATCTTTATGTGATTTTAAGTACTATCTCAACGTACTATATGTTAACTAATTAAGAGAACAACATTTATTATTGGACCACCTACCCCGAGAATTACTATCTCAATACATAATCTTTATGTGACTCCAAATACTATCTCAATGCACTGTATGTTAACTAATTAAGCAAAGTAACATTTACTCCACTTTTCGGACCACCTACCCTGAGAATTGGCCCTTGACTGGGTGAAGGCCCAGGTCAGATTTAAAAACATTGGCTATAACAGATTCATTTTTGTTTGTTGGTTTTCTTTATTCATTTTTTCCTATGTTTGTTTTTTAAGATGAATTCAAGAGCGCGAATTGGCTTAATATGGTAAATAAAATAAAAAAATAAAGCTGCCTCTTTTATTCACCCTAGAAAACAGCTGGGAAGGCCTGCAAAGAAATAATTAAGCAAGATATACACAATTCTAGTTCTTCTAAATAGATCTTAAGAGTCCAAAAGAGAAGGCTTGAGCACCACCATTGCTTTACTCATGGGTTTGTGTTCACTGTCCCACAGACATGGAGAACAAATTATAATGCCTTTAATTTCCACAGAAAATGTGACAGTTTAGCTTTATCTTTAATATATTCTTGTCAGTGTAAATTAATTACTAATGATCTTTATCTTTATTATACTTTTTATCATAATGAGCTTTATCTTTATTATATTCTCAGAATAGCAATGAGCTTTTATCATTTATTAAGTAAGGTAACGATACTTCTTCATTTCAAGGATAAAACAGCCCTTATAAAAGTTTATGGAATATCAGATAAACACACAATTGTTATCTTCCTAAACCGTGGAGTTAAAACAAGCGACAATAGAGGAGACGGGAAAGATTAGAGATCAAGGGCGATGAAGTAGTTCCCGCTCGGGAATCCATTGCAAGAATGAAACAGCCTTATCAAAGAGCCTCACCGAAGGACTGGGAATGTCAAGGAATTCTACGAAACCAATCTAGACAGCTGTTCCACAATTTATATTACTCAACATGAAATTATAATCAAAATAACGAATAATCACAATTTAAATCTCCCTCTTGATCATGTCACAGGCACTACATGATGTGTCATGTCAATTTGTACAACTCTCTTTGTGCAAGAGTTTGTACAAATAGCTTTACCCATATGCAATTTTCACTTAAATATGAGAACCTTTATTGATTCCAAATACTATCTCAACGTACATTGTTACTAATTAAACAAGAACATTTATTGGCACGTTATATGTTAACTAATTAAAAGAACATTTACTATATTTGGTTACAACAACTGGTGTCATCCTTTCTAATGACTATGGTAATTATTCGTAGCCATCTCTTCAAGTAATCTGTAGGCATCTTCAAGACTTTTCCCATTAAAGTTTCTCCTTTTCGCAAAATCTATCATGATCGAATTGTTGGTACCAAACTGTTATGAAAAGTTTGCACCACAAGCCCAGGAGTAGGCCATGATGAGGACACTTTCGTAATAAATCCTTGTACCTCTCCCAAGCTCCGTACAATGTCTAGCTCCATTTGAATAAAAGTTGTGATGGCATTTGCATCTCGTTGTTTTTGCTAAAGGAAAGAACTTGGCCAAAGAAATTTTGGGCTAGATTCTCCCATGTGTTGTTGACCCTACTGCAAGCGAATTCAACCACCCTTTTGCCTTATCCCTTAACGAGAATGGAACAATTGCAGTCTTAAACGTATAAAACGCGTATTTATATACTTTTTAAATGACTGTTGAAAATTCAGCGAATTATTCAAGAATTATAGCAAAAGCAAAAAAAACTGATTGAAACAACGGCTTTTGGTGAGGAGAGAGAAATCGCGGGTAAGGGAAGAGATATTCGCGAATAACCTCATTCATGCGTCCCACTTCAGCGTAGCCCCTTACGAGAACAGCCCCCAATGATTTTCATCCCCACTATTGAATTTCAAGATTTCTTTCATACTTTTTTCATTGTTGGTTCTGATTTTGGTGGCTGGTGATTTTAGTTTTAAAGTGTTATTTTGGAAAGGAAGGTAGGTTGGGTGGCCAATGGGGATTCGTTGGAAGGTGGAGCACTGGGAAGGAAGGGGTGAGGGTCCATGAGGTGGTTGGGCTTTGCGGAAGTGGGAAGGGTTGATGACGGTTTGTACCTTGCGGCAGCTGTGTGGTGTGAGACAGTGAGACTGAGGCGGTGGGGGCTGGACTGCTGGTGAAGAATAAGCGGTGGCGTTTTATACAGAAAAAGATTACAAATCCTTTACGAAATTATTTTATTTAGTATTAATCTTAATTTTAGGTGCATTGTACACTAATGTTTATATTTAGTTATCGATTTAATATAATTAATGGATTAATGGGAAGTAAAATGGTTGCATTTAATATCAACTTATCAAATTCAAATTAGTAAGAAATTATGGCTAAATATGTGTGTGAGGCCTGGAGACTATAATTTGAATATCAGTTATATATTGTTATTTGTGTTATTAGTTAATTGAATATTTTGCATTTGAAATGATTTTGATTTTAACTAGGTAATCCATAAAAGTGTTAAAATAAGATTGATATTGGTATTTTTCAAACGTTTATTGACAAGGACCGTATAAACCCGTATATACCGTACCGTATTTTTCTGTATCCAAATTTTAGACCAATTGTTATAAACGTATTTTTTACGTTTAATGTATTATCCATAAAATTTCCGTATCTTTTTTACCGTACCCGTTACTAACTAAGGTCTTATGGCATCATCTGGCACTATTGTGTGAAAGTATCACAAATCTAAAAAAAAAATTGCTATATGAGTGGTTGAATCATCGTTGAGCATTCCAACAAACTATCACCAATGTCTAAATCATTTGTATGATGACTGGCGTTATTCGAAGTGTTTGCCTGAAAATTCGGTCACCTTATGCTTGGAGGTGTACTGGTCACCAAAGGCAAAGCACAGTCTCTCAAAGCTCTTTGATCATTTGCCTCCTTAGCTTGATGTCAATGGTTTGTTGTGTGCTTGTAGATCCTCTTTTGCTTTTCTCGACAGCCGACAATTCTATTCAATCTCTGGGTCGAATGATAATAATTCTACGCTTTTCCAACGTCTCATAGACAACAGAGACTTCTAAAAAATTGGAAAATCAAACTCAAGTAAATTAAAACTTAACAAAAGAGAATTAATTTAGAACAAAAATGCTGAAAACAAATTCAAAAACTCAAAACAAGATAACAGCAGCAAATAAACGTAAACAAAGATTAATTAAATAAAATAAAATTCAAATAATGTAGAGTAGTTTTTTACATTTTTGTTAATCGATCTAATAATCCAGTCATACTATATGATAAAGCTGCCTAACCAAAGCTCTCTTGAATTAAAAATAATTTTTGTTATTTTAATTAATTTGATGCCTTCAAGTATATACGCAGTTTTCTCCATATTTTGGCAAAGGTAACCACTTAGCCAACACAGATTTTTGATGACTCAGATTTCGCATGGAGTCCTCACATGCTATATATATATGCCAATGGTTTAGCGAAATGCTAAATTCCCTTGGTTTCATTATATCTTATATCTTACACTTAAAGTAATACTATTAGTGACCGTTGGATTCTGATAAGATGCAAAGGGTGCTATTATCAAAATCATCTTATCTACACCCCTTAGGTTTGCTAATTTAGCTAAAAACCCTTACAATAAAACATTAAAAATTAACAAAAATACCTCACCCATCCAATAAATGCCGAAACGTGGCCACCACTGTCGGAGGGTAGCCGAAAGTCTCTATAATGGTGCACAATGGTTGGATATGGTCGGTCGTGCACCGATATGACCTTTTCGGGCCAGATCTAGCCACGTTTGGTTTCAACGATGGCTATATCTTGGCCGCCGTTCACGACCCGTTACAGCCAAAGATCTAGCCATTGACTATGGATTGGTCGGAAAATGTCAGATCCACTGTGGATATGGTCGAAAAAAGCTGGATCAGCACATACGGCCAGATCCAACCGGTAGTGCTCCATTACGCTAGATTTTGGCCACCTTCGAACGGT